GCGGTGTATGCGCGGGAAACGCCGGCTGTCATAGGGAAGGGAAGCGAGGTAATCAGGATAGAGAGGCTGTTGTCTCTTCGAATTGATTTCTAGGCTGATAGGAATTCTGTTTGTTAGATTCATAAAGTTAGGGTTAGTCCATCGAATTGATTTTTAGGTTGATAGGAATTTTGTCTTCTCTGTAGTATTTTAGGGTATTGAAGAGGCTGTTGTATCTTCAACTCTCTTGACTCTTTTGAGCAGTATATTTCTTCCTTAGTTTTGTTATACACATTGGCTATAGTGTTTCATATGTAGAAACACGTAATTGCAATGGTTCACAGTAGTATAGTCGTGCAGTAGTCTGTTTAAATATGTGTCAAATAATTGTTGTTGACGTTCCTTATTTGTTGTAGGGTGGCTGGTTAGCAGAATTGCACCATTGATTAACGTCGTTGCAGAAGCCTACAAACGAGAGAGAAAACAATTTTTGAGTGATTCAGGGCGACACTTACGGAGCCACTAGTAGCGATGCCACCTTGAGCAGTGAGAGTGGGACAAAAGGCAGTGGGAACGCTACTGGTAGGGAGGAAAGAGAGATCAGGTGAAGAGCAAACTTGAGGTGTATCCATTGGTTACGTGGTGGGAAACCTGTCTCGGCAGCTCAGGCTCTTCACAGTGTTTTGTACAGAAAGAATGAAAAGGTTGCCCTGATATAGTTGAGGGAATCATAATGGATGAAAAATTCAGTTGATATGGTGCAATTTATTTGAGAAGATTGCAATACTAGTTTAGAAACAGACGAGCGAAGTAACCTGGAGTAATGCAAGGCGAAATTCACAGAGCCACTAGTAGCGGTGTCAGCTTGAGCAGTGAGAGTGGGGCAATGGGCAGTGGGAACCTATGTTGCACCCTGTACGAGTACGGGGCGACCGTATGGCTCATGCGGGCGTACGTACGGGCCCCCAGGCGGTTGTACGGGCTGCACGTACGGTCGTAAGAGTCATTTCGGCGGCCTTCCCACGGGGCTTCTGACACCTGAGGGGGTGGGGCGGGGTGTGCATGCCGTGGGCTAGCCCCCCGAAGTAATAAATAAGAAAAAAAAGATTGTTCGTTTGGGGGTTGGTTGGGGGGGGGGGGG